ACTCCTTAGCAGATTGTTATAATATATGTGGAGTTAATATGCGAAGGAGGGAAGATGCATACCGATTGAGGATCGACGGATTTTTGGATCAGGGGAATAATTATCTGGTGATATCGGACAGATTCTTGTTTCATTGAATGAATTAATGAAGAAAGTAGCGTTAGAATGGCTTGCTTCATCAAATTCTCTTTGCTTGCTTGCTCCCACAGCTGTGGCAGTAGAGAGACTATTTGATCGGCGTACGGCGCAATCTGGTAAAAAAATTAGCATTTGAGATCCGTGCTTAATGTCTAAAAATCAACATACGTGATCTTCCATCTTAACCACGGCAACCCGAACTGTCCCGACAAGTGCCATTTTGGTTTCTGTAAGAGTTACTTCGCCTATCAGATCCATAAGGCTCTGAAGTATGGGCGTAGCATAGGGCAGGAACCGATCAACGCTGAATTCAAATGGCTCTAGCACATTTTTCAGTTGACGACCAGCCGTCACTCGGACCACTTGATCGTTAATGGGATCGCTTTTATTAAGTAGATGTTGAAAGATTTGGTAAATTGACGACATGTCTAACTCGTCAGCTTTCACGGGTACCCATTGACCAAGCAGTATTGCTATCCGTCGTCTAAGAAGGTTATACCCTGGCTGCTGAATTTGAACCTCCGGAATAAGGGTAGATGATAAAAAGGCATTGAAATCAAGCTGCTTCTCCAGGATGGCGGCCCCAAGGCCGACAGCTGAATAGAGGGAATCCTTCAGCAGAACCTCTTGATTTTGGGGACCTAGAGGATGTTAAAAAAGAGAAAGAAAGAAAGAAAATAGCACACGATAAAAGCCAAATGGGGAGTAGACTTACTGGCATAGGAGTAAAAGACGTGCAGGAGTTTGGGGACGAGGAGTTGTTTGAAGTGGATAAGGAGGTCGAGAAATACTTTGTCGGAACAAGAACGGATAGAAAAGTCGTACGCGTCTGTGATCTCGTCTTCACGCTTCTCCCATTCTTCGGGATCTTCCCCCCACTGCCGCAGGTCACTTGCCCGAAAGACAAAGAAGCGGGTGATAAGGAGCTCCATGACTTGAACTACGAATTCGTGTGTCAGTAGTTGGGACTTGATAAGCTCAATGGATTGGCTTCTCTCCTCTTTATCCCGGGCATGAAGGTATTTAAACGTGTGTGTTGGGTAGAATGCCATTTTTATACATGAGCGAAGGATAAGCAAGCCCTTGAGCGCGATACTTTCTAGGAATGGAGTTTCTTCGTCATCAGCGTCGCCATCAGTTCCAATTTTGGCTCGAGACATGTCACTTGGGTTGTAGTGTTTGGCAAGCTCAACAACAAGACCCCAGTAAGATCGGGTAAGGTCGACGCAGCCAGGAAATAAGGCAAATGCTGCTGGGTGGGTCTTGGCCATCTCCAAATGAAGTTTGGATAGCTGTATTATGTGTCTTTCAAGTAGCCTTGTGACATTTGGTGCCAATTCGGAGGACTTCCGTTCCAGCAACGAATAGAAATTCCCGACATGAGCAAGTGATAAGGTCCAAAACTGCTGGACGTCGCTGTCTCTGTTTGGGTTCTCGAAAGCCGTAACTATTAACCGGCGCAAAGTCTTCAACGTGATGAGGCTTTCATCGAAAGATTCCAAAGCTCCGCCCTCGTCGTCACCACCAACTTCTAAAAAGGTACCCCATTTACGGACCTTTTCGACATAAATGTTGGCAAGAATGTGGAATATCTCCGGCGCAATGGCATAGAGGTTCCTTTTAATTCTTTGCAATCTCACCGTGGAGAGTTCTTTGGTTATATGTAAAAGGATAAGGAGGGTACGTGGAAGCTGCAAAGGATTGCTACCGGGCTGGCAGGCGGCGCGAAGCAATGTAAGCACTGATATAATCGCATCAGGCCTGGAGGTAACGAAGATTAGATACCGGTGAAGCTTGAATGAAACTGAAAAGAGGGTGCTCTTCTTACCATTCTGACGGGAATTCCAAACGCACTATCTTCGCAAGCATCAGGGCATTGTGAAGAGCAAGTTTGGTATCAGGTTCGACAGCACCAGCCTCAAGGGCCCGTGATCTGATCTGCAGTTTCTCTCCTGCCTTGATAGCACTTGAATAATTGTCCACAATCAGTACCAGTATGTAATATCCTTTGGAGAGAATACCACAAACGAGAGGAGGAACAAAGCATACTTTGGGGCCGTTTTCCTCCAGTATTTATCAACGCCGTTTTTCAGCTGTATAATCGACAGGTAACGGACTTCATTTGGTAGGGAGAAATCGACGAAGATATCCTGGAATTACATGTTTAGTGTCCGTCCTTCCGCCTGCCCGAAGATATGGGGACGAATTTAAAAGGCATACCTGTAGCAGTGAAAAATAATTCGGCTGTTTCTCCCAATTTTGAAGCTGTTGTCCACCTGCTACAACCTGTTGTTGAGTGTTGCCCGCAGCGTTCACAAGGGTGTTAAAAACGTTCTGACGAGTTAAGGGGTTGGTTTCCCCAGGCAATTCGACTGCTGACGCCATGGCGAGCTGAGGACTCGAGCGGGCTACTGTTTGGTCAAATTTCAAGAGAGCTCTAGAGGCAGCAAATATCTTAACAATTTCATAGATGTACTCCGTATTTGGGGATAGAATTATTGTCCAATCCCAACCATTTTGCTCTGTTAATGTTACCCGCACTGCGTTTGGTTAGCACTTGTTCTTAGTTAAATGGGCAGGGGAATCAGAAAGCAGTGATTTTGGCAATTCTCGAGGTAAAGAACTGCATTCTTCATTAACTTTTTATTTGAAATGTCCGTGCTGTTAGTGACATCCTGCAGACTTGTTTAGTTATGAAACGCAAATTGTGATTATTTACGTGATACCGTGTACAGAGTCTTTAGGGTCACCCCTCTAATATATCACGTGAGCGTTCGACCTCGGCTTGCTCTCGCGCATCGGGTAGGGATGCCAATATTACAATCATTTGCTTCCTTCAACTCCACGGCAAAATCCTCGCACTTGAAATAATTCCCTATCTTTGTGCAGGATATGGGAAATATGGGATTTCCAGCAATATAACCCAAGAATGACCGCACGATGACCTCAACAAATTTTGCTGCAGCGCAGGAGCGCATTCTGGAACGCCGCCGTCTCCGTGAAGCCGAAGCTCGAGGCCGACTCCCCGAACAAAGTGCCCGTCTTCCTGCAGCTATCGAAAGACTTCCTTATCCGCTTTCTCGAGTGTCCGATGCTGGTGTCATATTATGGGATACGATAAAGGGGAGGGAAGGGACGAAACCGGCGTTTCGGGTTGGCCAGGTCGATGCGGAGTTGCTGGATGAGGAGCTCCTGACCCTACTCAAAGGTCAGGTTGGGGAGGGATTAAAATATTTCGGAGTAAGTCTGTGGAATCCTTTTCTTGCGTTCGCAATGATATATCTTATTATGGTGCAGGTCTAACAATGTTGTTTTCCTTCTCAGAGCCACATTAAAGAGGATTGGACACACGAGATACAGTTTGCGTTGCGGGCTATTCTCTTCAAGCTCTCTGTATGGGATCACAATGCCTCGTATGGTGCAGCTCTACAAAACCTCAAATATACAGATAGCCGGCAAAAGGGACCAACTCTTTCGGATCCGACGAAATGGCAAAAGGCACTATATGGCCTTTACACGGTTGGAGGTCGCTATATATGGGATAAATGGGAGAGTTGGCTGATTGACCAGGAGGGTGGATATAATGAGGTATGAATAAATTGGAATTCCAGGATTATTTAGTGTTCCAAAGTCGCGAAAGATGCAAAAGCCAATTCTAATAGATTATCTACATTTAGCCCTCGCCGCAAATACGCCTTTTATCCAGAATCACAAACACCATCTCAACCACACACTCGATAGCAAGCTTCGTTTCGTTTCTCGTTTTTCTCACCAATGGTCGCTATAGAACGCTAATCGATCGCCTGCTACGTATGCGCCTAGCACCCCCCTCTACCCAAGTCAGTCGCGAAGTGTCCTTCGAGTATCTGAATAGACAACTCGTCTGGCACGCGTTTACGGAGTTCCTCTTATTCCTTCTCCCTCTTGTTGGAATCGGGCGCTGGAGACGTTGGATCTCCCGAGCCTGGAGGAAAACAATGTTATCGCTTCGAACAGCTGACGAAGGAGATGACGAGCAGGTCAAGGCCCAGGGGGAGCTCGCCTTTTTACCAGAAAGAGCATGTCCAATCTGCTACCAGGAGCAGAACCCAGCAGCTAGGTCGGAAAACGATGTGCTGGGCGCCTCGGGGGGTTCGGGGGGCATAATAGGTTCGGCACAAACGGATGTTGTCAACCCCTACGAGACGATGCCGTGTGGATGTATATACTGTTTTGTCTGTATTGCGGAGAAGCTCGAAGCAGAAGAGGGCGAGGGCTGGATTTGTCTTCGATGCGGGGAGATCGTGAAGAAATGTAAGCCGTGGAACGGTGATGTTCTTGAGGACATATTGCCTTCGCATTCATCAACGACAGGTGGGAAGAATGTGGGATTTGCGGCCATTCCAGATCATGATAATGATAATGAAGCCGAGGCAGACGCAGAAGCCAGGGCTCATGGTCAAGCTCATGTTGTCGAAAATAACGATGGTGTCTTCACTGATGGTGATGATAGTATGCATGAGTCTAATCAGTGGTCTGCGGTTGAGAAGGATATAACGGATGACACGAGTGTCGAGTCTGACAGTGAGGATATCAAGTAAACAGGGATCAGGACGTACAGCTGCAGGGAATGCGCCCGTCCAGTCTGCTGTCTCGTACGCGGCGGATGTATGTCCAACGAGATCACCTCCATTTGGCTTACCCTACATGCCCCTTTATAACCCCCGCCCTTCCCCCCCGGGGATTTTGGACTACGGTTTACTGTCGACTTTATTTCCATTCTCTGCCCTGCATTAGGATTCTCCCCGCCTATCCTCCATTCATGTTCCTCCTCCTCCATTTACTTTCATTTTGATGTGCAGAGAAACGGATTTATCTTGGTTAACCGGCGTTTCCCACTTCAAACATATTCATGTCTATATTACATGTATTTATATCTTTGGCATATCGTTACACCCATGCGGATTACAACACTCTGCCGCAGATGTTATCTATACGGATTGCGAGGTTTACACAGATATCAGGCCTTATATATATCATCTGAGCTACCCACATGGCTACTGTTCAAAAGCATCGTCAACCTTGTGATTTCTATTTTATTTTAAGTGGAAGAATAAGGGTAAAATAACGGGTAAGGGGGCTGAGATACATTGTGATACGGCTCTTATTATGTTTTGGGGTTCGTTACGCCCCCAACTGGCCTGTCGAACCCCAGGGAATTTGGACCGCTCACTTAAGGATCGGATTTCTACTCCAGACGATGATAGTATGCAAATTACTTTTTCTTCTCTGTGTGGTTAACAACGCTTGGTTAATGTGATGGTGTCGATGCGGCCCATTTGTTGATCTCCAAGGGCGGTGAATTATACTAAACCGTCTGAGAAACTGTCGAACTGTCATTGTTTATTTGCAAGGTGGAGTCGTTAACTACGCTGTGGTCCTAGATATAAATACCGTGGTTGGATGGATCATGCGATCGGCCGTTTAATAAAGTTAGGGTTACGTTGGGCCGATCCGCTGCTGCGGGGACTTTCGACAATTGGACCGCTGCGAGCTGTGACAATGCCGCCAGAATAGGCGGTTGGAGGTTGGCGTGAAGGCTGAAGCGCCTTGTCGAGTCCATGGATAAGCACCACGGATCTCGGGTCTGTTGACGTTTCGTAGTTCTAATTATACCGCTCGACGTTTCAATATCCATGGCCAGGAACTGCATGGGAGCCCCGTCCACGATCAGTTATCAGACGCGATGGATTCTTCAGCAAAATCCCGTTGTTCACTAAATATTTTGCCAGAAAAGACTGAGGAATGTGAATAACACGGTTCATGTCGGTCTCCCCCACACGAACGGTGCCGGAGCCCTTCAATTAGCCATATATCTTGGCTGCTGTAAAGGGATTCAGAAAGACTACAAGGCTGCGCAACTTGGCTGAAGAACAATCAAACAAGGCTGGAAAATGTATGGTTACGGTCCTGCAAATTTTGCCGGCTATTCCAGTTCTAGCATATCCTCCTCTTCTAGAGAAATTCAATGTGCCAGATGATGCAGGGGGCTGAAAAAGGAAAAGAAAAAGAAACAAGCCAGAAACCACATCCAGAGGATTTATTCCAGAATCGAATCCGAGCCAACTTTACAGTCGCGTGGATCCTTGTAACTTACTCTCCAGTGTCCAGTCGAAAACCCTATCTTCTGCATCCGTTTATTGATGTCACGCTCCTCATAAGCACATTGTGGTCTGCCGAACTCCACGTTGAATGATATGAGGATTTCAAGCCACCACGTACGAAAGGGGAAATAGGTCTAATTGTGGAATTCAAGCAATTACATTCTGCCATTTCATCCATCTTGAAAAGCAACAAAACTGAATGGAGGTGATTGGGGAATCTCCCTCTTGTGAAAGGGGGCGAATCTAGATATTTTAAAGAGAAGGAGAGGGAGCCTTGAGTGAACGTGGCGCAGATGGAAAAGAGAATGGGCGCACTGGCGGAGGGAAATTTGGATATAAAAACCTCACTCTCGTCTCTCGAAATGGAGTATCTTTTTGCTGTTCGAGAGACAGAGCGCAGAAGCATTCAAGCAAAGACTGAACAAATCTTTCTACACTCACTTCACCCCGTATCAAGAAGCCAGTCCGTCCCCGCTTTGCAACTTCCAATATGCGCACTTCATTTTTTTTCTCTACAGTCCTCGCAGTCTTGGGCCTTGCCCAAGATGGCTTTGCTCTGCCAACGTCGTCAACATCGCTCTCGACCTCTCACTCAGTCCTGGAGAAACGAGGCTTGAAAGAGTGCGATAGCGACCGTGACTACAGTGGACCCTACCGTGACGGGCAGGGTGTGTACGTGGACTCGGACAAGGTTACCCACCCGTACAAGTTTCCGAAAGTGCGCAAATGCTGGCACGATTATTATGCCGTTGAAGCGAGTGTGTGGTATGCACAAAACTGCCCAGCCCTCACCCCTCCCCCCTTACCGTCCTTCTTGTTGCAAGATTAAACAAAATCTAACAATTTCCCGAATCCAGGAAGCAACCCTGGGTCAAATCCTCCGGCAATATCTACTGCACCGGCACCCAAACCTGCGCCGCAGCGCACCTGAACGGCACCCAAGTCTGTCAAACCCGCAGCCAGAGCGTCAGTGTGTCAATGGGTCTTAAAATCGACGCTGCCGTCTCCAAGGGCATTGTTCCCGGGTTAAGTTTCGGCGTGGAATTTTCATCCTCCATCGAAAACTCGCAATGCTATAGCGCATCATCCACGACGACATGCACGTGGAATGACAAGGCGTGTCATACGGTGTGGACGCAGCAGCAGATGGTGCGCACAAGGGGTTATGAGAGGAAGAGATGCAATTGGGGAAATGGGGATGTGACGGAGTGCATGAGATCGTGGGAACAGAATACCCCGACGACTTATACGGATTACGGGTGTGGGAGTAAGTGTACTGATACCAATTATTGTGGGAACAAGAATGGGAAGCCGTGTTAGAAGCACTTAGCTGTATAGCAGGGTTCAGGGGTTGATAAGGGGAAAGGCCTTGTATATGAGGTATAATAAGGGGGATGAAGGATTTTGGATGATGAACATGTTGTGCAAATTGATGTACATCAGCTAAGAAACTACGTTATCTGATGATAAGGATTAAAAAACGGCTAAATTCCACTGCCGAGAATAGTGTAAAGAGCATTAAATAAACTAAGACTTCCACCTAAAACCAGGATGCCGCCAGTCAAGGTCCTGAATTTGTCTTTGACTAAGCCCACCAAGTTTTTCTTCCACATTTACCTTATCCCTCTTCTTATTATCCACCCTCATCCAAATCAACAAAGCAATGGACCAAATCAGCATCGTTGACGATGTAGCGAGATTGAGTCCGTTGCCAATATGATAGTCTGGGGAGTCGAATGGTAAGAATGACCAGGTCGATATCAAGCCGCCGATATTCCCAAACATAACATTTGTGCCAATTGCGGAGGATTTAGCCGTGTCGGAAACCACGTTTGCGGCAACATGAGCATTGCAAAGGGCACCGAATGAAAAGGCTCCGCTGGCTATGATGAACGTTGCACCGTATCTGACGTTCGGGTCGTTACTGGCGAGGAACATTACGTAGCCAACCATCATCAATGGAGCGCTGATGATGAAGAATATCAAGCGTCGGTTATATTTCCAGCTGAGAAAGGGGAAAAGAACGGTAAAAAAGCCACCAATGACGTAAGGGGGGACTGTGTGAAGTTGCTGAGAAACGACGCTGTGTTTGGGGTAGATTGTTCTGACGACTGTGGGGGCGAAGAATGCAAGTCCTTGAACGGTAATGTTATCTAGGAGGAATATGAAAGAAGTGACCAAGGTGACAGGACCGAAGATCCCACGGAGCGTCTTGGGAGCGTCAAGTTTGTCTAATACTTCAGTAGCACCGATACGCTCTGATTTGACGCGAGCTATGGCAAGGTCCTTCTCCTCCTGGGTAAGCCAAATAGCGGTAGCCGGCCGGTCGGTCAGGGTAAAGAAGCCAATCACGGATAGTCCACATGTAATAATACCCTCGATTGCAAATATCATCCTCCACTCATGAAGGCCACCAAAATTGGGCAATTTCAGAATAGCGGACGCAAGAAGACCACCAAAGGCCCCCGCAAGGGGAGCCATGACAATATATAGAGATAGACGAAATGCCAGTTCTCCCTTTCGGTACCATCTGGACAGATAATATGCGATACCCGGCATCATCCCGGCCTCGAAAATCCCAAGGACAAAACGCACACCGCAGACTTGGTGGATATTGTGGACGAATGCGGTGGCTACGGAGACGAGCCCAAACGAAAGCGACAGAGCCGGGATGAACCATCCAGGGCCAATCCATTTGCAGGCCATGTTGGAAGGGATTTCGAAAACGATGTAGGAGACGTAGAAAACTGAGAGAACGGTGTTGTAGTCATAGTTTTTCAGTTTGAGATCCCTCTCCAGGCCAGCAAGCCTCGCATTTCCTAACAAGAAAACATGCACTGTAAGAAAGGCGTTTTGGAATGTATGAATTAAACAGAAGAAGTTTCATACCAATGTTTGCGCGGTCAATGAAGCAGAAAAGGTAGAGAAGAGAGACCGTGGGGACGATAAACAAATCGATCTTCCAGAGAAGTCTGGCTTCAGCAGCTGGGTCAAATTGGACAAGCGGACGCCCATAACTGATTGATATCTTGTAAGTATAAAAGAAACGAGCAGAGGGAGCCTGACTGCAAATTAAGTAGACAGTGTATATTTACAGGTCAGTAGCAGTATGGCCCCTCTCTGCTACCTCGTGGGCTTTTCCCTTGTGGATAGGTTCAGTTTGAGGGACTATCCCCCTTTTTTCATCGTAGTGCGGAGACGAGATGTCGTCATTGTTCTGATCGTTGGTGCCCATTTAGTTTGGGTAGCAGGTCCGCTGCCAAAGAAACAAACAGATTAGAGAATATGGAGGCGAAATGAAAAATAAAAACTAATGGTTTAAGAGTTTAGTCACTGCGTTGCAACAGAATTGGAAAAAGAACATCCGTCAAAATCAATGAGAAGAAGACCTGTTATATACATACAATGATTCCTCAAAGGCGAATATTCTCTAATGCAGCTCCAACAGATCTCCATACCCACAGAGGCTAATCCCGAGTCTCCAAGAGTATGGGGTATGCGGGGACGCTTTGGAGTTGATTCGGGACAGAAGAGCGGCAGCTTCAAAGTGCCAGGGGGTTGCCGCAAATCAATACGAGGCAACTCCGTACCAACGGACTCGGAACAGGGAAAAGTACGAAGGTTTGTTGGAAATGTCGAGCTTTCACTTTGTCAGCCCGCTGATCCCAGAGTCGTACGCGATGGACCTTTTTTCAGCTGAAAAATATCTCGAGTGAAGCCATGGTCATGATTGGCTAGCGGTTGATTGACCAAAAAAATGTTCCTTTTGGCGGCCCAGAGTGCGTTTCCTTTACCGGGAGTGGTTTCCAGCGCTTATTTTCGAGGCGTGAATCCTTGAGTATCAGTGGTCACCATGAGAAGTCGTCTAGACTTCCGGAAATAAGACAGCTTGGGATAGTCATATTGGGCCATCGATTTGATCCGATATCGATAACTACCAGACGGAGTGCAACTTTTGAACAGATATCCAATTTTCCACTAGCTACCTGTTTAAGAGGGTGTTCTTCCCCGACATTGCCATTGATATGGATCATGACTTGCAACGCAGAGTTGCATCCGGAATCATTTGCCCCGCGACGTGTAACTAGTTATACCACCTGCTGACATTAGCAGGTCTCCTCTGATTCCCCGTCAATCTCGCTCTCCAATAAAGCGCTGCAAGTATCAGGCCAACCCGGAACGTCTGAAGCCCTCGAGGGCAAGGAAGCAGACAAGTAGTTATGGGTTTTTTTCTTTTTTTTTTTTTTTTTTTTTTTTTTTTTTTTTTTTTTTTTTTTTGCGCACGATTGGTGTCTGGAGGATTGATTGGCATAGAGGTCAATCACCGACATTGGCCAATTAACATTGGCTGTTGCGAAATTTGAAGTATCAGCCTTGTCGCTGAGGTAGCTCAACAGGGCAGTTTGATATACTGTCCAATCGGGTATGTTCAGATGTTGCTTATTTTCATTCAATGCTCCTGGTGATAACAGCCGTATGAAAAAAGTTGGCTCTGCTCTGCTCTGGTCCAATGGCGAGGCAGATATTCACGCTTACTAACAAAGCTCTGTTTTCCAGAGATGAGTCCAGGTTTCTTCTCGCCGGGTGGAAGTGAGGGGTGAAATGGGGACAGAGGGATATATCTATGAATATACAAGATCCCAGGTTATTTTACTCTTCTTCTATATAGTTACATAGTTACGGATAACTAACCCGGTAGGCAGTTATAAAATCTTCAGAGCAATCTTCAGAGCCAGTTAACTCCATTAACTAGTTAGTTATCCTCGTGACTCGAGCCCAAACCCGCGCGAAAGAGGTCTTCCTCTCATCAGGATCGAGAACACTCAACAGGTAATTGGCATAATCATTATTATACTCCCTCACGAAATTCAATTGTTTTCGCAAAATCGCCATTTTTTTGGGGGTGGGTTTTTCGCATGAATCCATTCCTTCCCCGCGGCGCAAAGATCAACCAACACACCCCTCCGAACACCCCAAAGTCTATATGCAGTGATTTTCTTTTCTTTTCTGGCTCTCATTTTGTGGCATTACAATGAATCCCGAAGAGAAAGTCGACGGCTTCGAAGAGCCCCGATACATCCAATTCCCTTGCCTGCCGGACGATGCGACTCGGGATGGAAAGCCGGTGTTGAATAAATATTCTACATTTCTTACAAAGGACCATGATTTCCCTGGAGCGCAGGTATGGTATTCACTTAATCGACTTTTTACTCTGTGGCCCCTTCTCTAGTTTTAATCCTGCGATCAATTGGTTAATTGTAGTATTTTGGGTATCTGCGTTTTCTCTTGCTTCGACGGGTGCTGACAGTGTTTCTTATCTTCTTCGATGGATAGGCGATGTTATATGGCGCGGGGGTTCCGGATCGTGAGAGCATGAAAAATAGCCCCCAGGTCGGTATTGCGACGGTATGGTGGGAAGGGAATGCCTGTAATATGCACCTTTTGGATCTGGGGAAGACGGTCAAAAAAGCCATCACGGATCAGGGGATGCTGGGCTGGCAATATAACACCATTGGTGTCTCCGATGCTATTTCCATGGGTAGTGAAGGTATATCCGCGGCTCCTGTCCCGTGTTGGACTCACTTTTTATTTTTCACTTCTCATCAATTGGACCTAACTTTGTGGATTCTTAAGGTATGCGATACTCCCTCCAATCTCGGGAGATCATTGCAGACAGCATCGAGACAGTAGTAGGTGCTCAATATCATGATGCCTGCATTGCGATTCCGGGTTGCGACAAGAACATGCCAGGCTGCGTCATGGGTATGGCCAGACATAACAGACCGTCTTTGATGATATACGGCGGGACAATTCAGGTCGGGTACTCCAAGTTACTCCGCAGGCGAATCAACGTCTCCACTTGCTACGAAGCAGCTGGCGCGTACGCTTACAACACCTTAACCCAACCCGACGACGGCGGAGACCGTTCGAGGACGAAAGATGAAATCATGGAAGACATTGAGCGAAATGCCTGTCCCAGCGCCGGCGCATGCGCGGGAATGTACACAGCAAACACGCTGGCTACCGCGATTGAGTCAATGGGTTTGACTCTGCCAGGCTCCTCGTCCACTCCAGCTACGGTGCCTGCCAAGATGCGCGAGTGCGTAAAAGCAGCGGACGCGATCAGAATATGTATGGAGAAGAACATTAGGCCGCGAGATCTACTTACGAAACGCTCCGTAGAGAATGCGCTGGTCATAACCATGGCACTGGGCGGGAGCACGAACAGCGTCGTTCACCTGATCGCGATGGCCAGAACGGCCGGGGTTGAGTTAACACTCGATGATTTCCAGCGTGTGAGCGACAAAATCCCGTTTATTGCTGACTTGGCACCTAGTGGGAAATACTACATGGCAGACCTTTATGAAATTGGCGGGATTCCATCTGTGCAGAAGCTGCTGATTGCCGCAGGCTTGATGGACGGTGACATCCCCACAGTCACTGGCAAAACGCTAGCAGAGAACATCCAATCTTTCCCCTCCCTCCCACAGGACCAGGCCATCATCCACCCGCTAGCCAACCCCATCAAGAGCACGGGCCATATACAAATATTGAAAGGCAACCTCGCCCCTGGCGGCGCCGTAGCCAAAATCACAGGCAAAGAAGGCACAAAATTCACCGGCAAAGCCCTCGTTTTCAACAAAGAACACGAGCTTGACGAAGCGCTTAACAAGGGCCTCATACCCCGTGGCGAAAACCTAGTGCTAATAGTTCGCTATGAGGGTCCGAAGGGTGGCCCCGGCATGCCCGAGCAGCTGAAGGCCAGCGCAGCGCTGATGGGCGCCAAACTGACGAATGTCGCGCTAATTACAGACGGGAGGTATTCGGGGGCCAGTCATGGGTTTATTGTCGGGCATATTGTGCCTGAGGCGGCGGTTGGGGGTCCCATTGCTGTTGTGCGGAATGGGGATATGATTACGATTGATGCGGAGAGAAATGAGATTAGTATGGCGGTTGGGGAGGAGGAGGTTGCGGAGAGGCTGAAGGAGTGGAGGCCGCCGAAGCCGCATGTGACTAGGGGGACGTTGGCGAAGTATGCGAGACTTGTTGGAGATGCGTCGCATGGGGCTATGACGGATATGTTTTGATGATGGAGTTTGGGAAATTAAGTTCTTTTTCTTTTTCGGTGAAAAAGTGATATATGTATCATTTTTAGTTTGTTTGCTATTTGGGAGAGACACAGTTATTTATATACACCCTTGCCCATTCTACTTGATTCTGCATCCCTTGGAGAGTATTGTAGCCCCTTACCTGAGCCTTCTTCAGGGGTATTCAGTGATACCTTTGGGGTATGATAATGATAGAATGAACTATAGGCGTTAACTACTTAAAAGATGACATCACCTTTTGCTGCCGGGTCCTTAGGACTTAGTTGCCTCTGATTGGCTATCCATATAAAGGCTCAACACTACCAAGCTTATCTAAGCTTATCCACCGCAAACTCTACGTGAGAACTGCCAAGCCTCTAACTTGAATAGGAACCTCCGCAATATCTTGTCTTTTGCGCCGATGACGTTGTGTTTATTCTTCTTATTGATTATTCACCGCAGCCCGGAAACCTCCTCAAATCATCTGCAGGCCACGCCCGTGTTTCCAACGCGCATTGCAACCCAGCGAGGTCTGTAGGAATCCCTTTCGATAGTTAATAATACCAGTGCACCCTAAGCTGATTTAGTAACAAACAGGGCTAGTGACTTTTATTCCGTTTGTAGCTCCAGAAGTGCCAGCTCACGATATTGTCTGAGCCTCACTCCGTACATACATGCGTACAGTCTGACCGTTTTGCCTTGCCGTCCGCCAAAAATTCCCATCTTCTCTTGTTCCACGCGCAGCTACCGGGCTGGGACGCTGCGAAATAACCATGACATAGAGACTATACGGGGGAAGGGAGTGTGTTTGCAGCGTCCATCGTCACTGCTACTGCTACTGCTACTGCTACTGCTTTGGTGGTCCGAACCATCATCCACACAGACCATAAATCAGGTGTTACCTGCCTTTCGCCCGCCTGGGTTTATCATCCGAATGTCTGCGTATACTCATATAAATAAATAATAAATAATAAATTAAAACAAAACAAGAGAAAGAAAATACAAGACAACCAGTCAAATCCCCCGCAAGACTTAACTTTTTTTTTTTTTTTTACCTCGTCAAAAACACTGCTGCTCTCCTTTTTTCATCATCCATGGTATGTCACAGGCCTTGCAACCCGTCCCTACAGCCGTCACTCCGCTGTTCTGATCCACAATTTGAAACACTCCAGCAAACCCTCCTCTGTTGACGATTCATCCAAGCACTCGCGCCTTCTGAGACTCGTCATTGGTTCGCTGTTGAAGCTTGACCGCTTGGCAACGTTGCTCGAACTGGTGCAACAAAACAACACCTAATTTTCCTGCAGCCATCAGCCCTGAAGTCGACTCTTCTCCCGCAACTTTATCGGTTTGGGCCGTAGGGAATCCCGGGGTTGGGAACGTGGGGTGTTTTCGAAAGCTCTAGTGCTCTAGGCCTTCTCTGTGATCGCAGTGGGGAAGTATGCATTATAAGAAGCAGATTTTTACCACCATTCAACTACCACGATGTCGAGGGAGATTTCATTCACTATAAATTCATCATCTCCTTCTCTGACGTCTTCCACCCCCCACTCTTCATCCGCTTCTCATTTATTCTCCTTTACTCTTTCATTCATCCAGCGCTCGTGGGATTACGTCGGACACTTTTTCCCGCGCCCACGTATTTTAGGATTTTGTCCTAATACGGCCCCTGGCAGTGAAATTGCGCCAAATGAATTGACAAATCCTTCTTACGCAACTTTGGGAATTCCTCTCGTTGTGACTATGGCAGGCTGTCTGCTATTGCTTCGCGCGTTTCGTCCCCGCAGGAATGGAAGAGATCAATCTCACGCCCTGTTGAACAACGAGCCAACAACGTCCAGTTTGGATGATGGGTCACATGAAGGTTCCAATTCCTCCACGAAGGGAAATGCGATTGATGTGCATGGCCGTTCGTCTGGCTCTCGAAGCGAACATCTCGAACGCAAGGGTAAGTCACGTCAATGTCTGGTTCTGAAAATTTCTCATTTCCACTCCTTTTCTATGTTCTTTTCGTTTGATATGGTACTGACTTAACTGACATTTGTTCAGGTGTGCATGATACTGACCCTGGACTGCTTAAAAAGCACTCCTCAAATATTTCATACACCACCCCAATTGCAACATATCCCTCCATCCGGACATTTGTCTATCCTCACCCTCATATTGACAAGCTCCCTACTGAACCATCGCCCTTGCCACTCTTGGTATTTATTCATGGACTCGGAGGATCCCTCGTCCAATTTCACCCTCTATTAACAAGCTTGATTACTATTGCCCCCTGTTTTGGTATCGATTTTCCGGGCTGCGGGCTGTCCTCGTTTTCTCCAAAATCCTGGACTCCATATTCAATTGAGGCTCTTGCTACTTTGGTCAATGTGGCAGTTGAACAACATCGCGACAAGGAAAGGGATCAAAAGGTTATCTTAGTTGCGCATAGTCTAGGATCTGCGATTTCAACATTGATTGCGTCTTCTAAATCTCCAGTTATATATTCGCTTCGGGAACATGTCATTGGTATTGTTGCCATATGCCCACCGGCTGGCCCTCCCCCGAAAGAAGAAACTCTAATGTTTCGCAGAATGCTTTACACACCAGATTTAATACTAAACCTTTTTAGAATTTGGGATAGACGAGGAGGAATCAACAGTCCCAGCGTTTTGAGATTTGTTGGGGAAGGTGCTGATATGGAGACGAGAAACATCCAGCTGCGGTTTAACCAGCATAGCAAGACTCCAGTGTGGAGGAGGATGGCGTGGGGAATCCTTCCCACGTATGACAACAACGGCGAAGCCATTGGAGGTTTACCTGGGAATCAAGTATGGGCTGGAGTGGATGTTCCACTCTTGCTCATAGCTGGAGAGGCTGACAAGGTAACGAAACCCGAAGAAGCCACCAAGATCCTTGGATATTTCAACACGGAGTGGGGACAGTCGACCGAATCAAGATTCCCTGAAAGCCAGCTCAAAGGACAGGATTTTGGCGATCAAGGCGGAAATACGATGCCTGATGCTCGACCTTCGCAGGCGAAATGCATGAATAGTGACGTTTCGAGCAGTGTTAATCCTTCTGGTATCCTGGAATCTGAAAGCGGTACAGGAGGCGGGAAACGGATTGTAAAAGCATATATTTTTCCTGCACCAGCCTCCCATGCACTTCTCTATGATCGAAGCACCTGTCGGACCCTTTCGGGGTTGATACAGGACTTTCTTGAAAAGCAAGTCGACCCTCGTCTTGGGTTGGGCTGGCAACTTCAGCATCTAACTACTTCTGGGAAATGGGACGTCAAGAACCTTGAAAAATGGAAAGCAACCAACCCTGTTTCGGACGTAATGGGCAATACTTTTGTTGCCATGAAAACCTTGCGTGAGGTTGATGAGAAACACACTCCAGTTTCATTTGCGCAACAGTGGAAGGGGAGAATCTATGCAGTCATCGATATCAGCCACGAGAGCCCCGTTTACGACCCCGCCCAACTTGAGAAGGGGGGGATCCAGTACCATAAGCTTCCAACCATCTCCAAGATACCTCCCACCATCGATGAGGTGAGAGACTTCGTCTCGCTAGCCAGCCGACTTGAGGAAGAAATATCCTCTGTATCTGGCAATCTTCCTGATGGAGCTCCGCGGCCCGTCATCGCAGTTCATTGTCATTATGGATTTAACAGGACTGGGTTTTTCGTTGCTTCATATCTGATTGAGAGGAAGGGGTTTCCGGTTCAAGAGGCTATAGATGAATTTGGGAAAGTTCGGTTTCCGGGGATCAAACATGAGCATTTTATTGATACCCTGTTTGCGCGATACTGTGTTGGTCTGAAAGGAGCTTCGGCTTCGAGTTTAGGGGGGTGATTGGTGTTGTGGCTGAGGAGTACCAAGGTCATTTGCTATGCTGTTTTCGTTATGGTCTCTTCATTGTTCTTTATCTGTTAAATTCGGCATTTTGTAGGGGCTCATAAGGATTGGGTTTGCGAGTCTTATCATTGGTTTTCTCCCTTTTCAATTGTTACAATATTGTTAGGTGGTGGTTTTACTTCAGGGTACGGTTTTGCCGTTATTGCTACGTACAGGATTCAGATCATATTGTTTTAACTTGGTCATTCAGAGAGTTACGGGTATTTGCGAAAAAATATTCTTTCATTGGAGATATATAAAAATCATAACTCTGTAATGGATAATGACATCTATTATATTCTACACAGGTATTGCAATAGCTTGCATACAGCCCTCAACTTCTTCAAAGTTGCCTCAAGCGAGATGGGAGAATCTCTCGGTGGTTTCAAACCTTGGAAGCCCATGCCAAGACCCATTGCCTTAATTAGGCTTAGCGGCTGACAAAGACCCAGCTGAGGCTCTTAGGGTACGACTAGTCCCAAAATGGCCAAGCGACTTGAGCCTCCACAACCACACAGTTGGCGATGACACAACAAGCGAAATTTCAAAGCGAAGCGACAACGAAAACCCCGAGAGACCAGAACAACGACAACATCGACCAACGGACCTTTTTGCCTTTCTTCCCTTCCACATCCCCTTCTCTTCACCTCTCGTGTTTCCATCATATTTACTCCCAGGCAAGCTAAAAATAGGCCAATCGCAATCATGGGAGGTGTTACTGTTCGCGATGTGGATGTAAGTTTTTCCTTTGATGGGGTTTCTTTTCTCTTGCTTTCCAGTTCTTGGGTGTAGCTTGGAGATTATTTGGAGGGGGAAATGAGAATGGGAAGAGGATGGGGATGAAGATGCACTTCGATTTGAGATATTGGAGTTGGGATTTTGGGTGGAAGGGTGTGCAGGGGTTTGGGCCGAGATACGATCGCAGTCTGGATGTTTCGCCAAAAGAGAAGGGTGAATCCTTCGGAGTTTAATATCGGGCAGAGGACGACGGGAGAATGGAAATGAAATGAGCTCACGACTGTTGTTTTGGGGAGGGAGCATTACCTTTATACATCTTGATCGTATCAGAGGGCTGATAAAACATCACTTTTTCTATACAGGCGCAAAAGTTCATTGCAGCATACTCCGCCTTCCTGAAGAGACAAGGCAAACTCCCAATCCCAGGTCCGTTCCTATGACGTTTATTACTCACTTTTTCCGATTGCGGTTTGTTTTGATTCAACGGGACCGGGAATGTCTGACACCAGAGTTGTGATACAGGTTGGGTCGACACCGTGAAGACCTCGAGAGCGAACGAACTTCCCCCTCAATCTATCGACTGGTATGCAATATTTAATACTCCATTTTGACGCGACATCTATCTTCCCGGGAAGCACGTTAGAGAGATAAATATTCTGTCGCATCTCGACTAATTAACAATCTACCCCGTAAAACATTGACACAGGTACTACATCCGCGCCGCTTCCATTGCCCGACACATCTACCTCCGCAAAACCGTCGGTGTCGGTCGTCTACGCAAAGTACACGGAAACCAGAAGAACCGTGGCTCGCGGCCCTCCCACCACGTCGAAGGCAGCGGTTCTGTTGATCGAAAAGTCATCCAATCACTTGAGAAGATTGGAGTGCTCGAGCTTGATGAGGAGAAAGGTGGTCGAAGAATTACCCAGAGCGGCCAGCGGGATTTGGACCGTATTGCCAAGACGACAGTTGAAGAGGAGGAGGAGGAGTAGATGTCTCTTTTGCAGGGGGCGTGTTGTGTGAAGAGAGAGATATCCGGCGAGGGGCAATGGGGGATTTTGGATTTGGCTTTTCCTTATGTCATTTCCGGATCGTCTGGTGCACTGTTTGTGGGAAGGAAGAGAGGAAGAATATAAGGAAAGCATGGGATAGGGAAAGAAAGGGAAAAAAGGCAATGCCGACGGTTTGGGCTTATCCACATGAGACCAACAATTTTTTTTTTTTTTTTTTTGATTCAGGCGTTGATAAAGAATGGGGGCGTGTGGGATTTATATTCATGCGACATGAATGGCAATCGAAGAAGACAAAACATACAGTGGAAGAGGGCATAGTGGTTCATTTTTCTGCTTTGTATTTTTCTTTTTTCCCTGCTTGAATCGAAAATACACACATGCCTGATAATTCCCTTGTGTCTGTTCTTTCTAGTTTTCCCCGCCACACCTGCGCCTGGATTCCATTTGCCCTCCAATGGAATACCTTTTCATCTGTACTTCTGGCCCCCTTTTCCTCTGTTTTTTCTCGAAAATCCCGGCAGCACGGACTTCTTGTTTCCAGATCCACATTACTTGAAAGCGTTCTCGCTTTTATTTCCTTTCTTGTTTTTCTCATCTTTTATTCCCCGTTAATCTCGTCGGATATGGAGAATTAATATCTTTTCCAAAATCTGTTCAAAAAAAGAAGACCATATCCCTTCTCTTTCCACCAGCTCGCAAATTGCCTTCCCTTCTAATCCTACTAATCCTGCCCTTCCATAAGAATCCGGGTATTATTGGATAATGAATGGTAACAATTCCGCTACTGCTGACCTTTGTGCTTCTTTAGGTGAAATCCAACCCTGTTTTACGAACACGGATGCAACCTGTTAAAATCGAGGGCATTCAGATTACAAGGCCAGTGGCAATTTCCTAGGGAAAGATGCAAGTTAATAAAAAAGAGAAACGCTTATTGTTACCAAGGCTAAAACTGTGGGACAGGATTAGCCAACTTCACAGTGTATAGGTTCGAATCTCATATCCATATCCCATCGCATATCAGTTGTCAATGGCATCACAGTGCGCTTAGTGATAACCGGCTAGTTACATGTGTACAGTCCTTGAAACTCTGAAGAAATACGCAATAAAAAACCCCACAATGAGAAAATCACTCACTTGCATGGGTGAAAAGGGACATTTTTTAAATGGACAATTTTGATTAGGTACCTCCCCTCTGTTCAATTTTGAAGATGGATTTGGGCTGATAAGGAAATGTTAAAGTAGAACACTAAGAAACACGCCGGGAAAATTTGAACAGTGAAGGTGGCGTGGGAAGAAACAACTTCATGAAATAGCAACGCATAACGACCAGATAAAAAGAACACATTTCGGTCAGAAGAGGACGCCAATCACCGTGGAAAGAGATGTCATGTCAGTTCAAAACTAGAGGCTTGCTGGGGCTGAAAAAAATCACAAAAGAAGGGAGGAAAATTCAAAATTCAAGGGAAAACAACTACCAATCCATGTTCTGATCACCATTTTCCGGGAACCCATTTGAATTTCGTCTGGCCACAGTACCTGTTTCTTCAAAAAGGGGATCATCCTGGTTGACCCTAGCTGTCACGTTGGAGTTCCGATAGGTAGGAAGCATTGACCCCCCAGGCAATAACGCAGATAAAGAAGGCAACAGCTCGTTTTCAGGAATGCCGGCATGAAATCCACCTTGGGTCTGTGAGACAGGACTGTAGCGATCTCTAACCTGTCGAGGCGCCACGCTCCGGACCCTTCGACCAGCAGGCCGGGTGTTCTCACTATGGGGAATCACATAGCCTACGGCGAGGTTTGCCCACGCTGCAGCGAAATTATGTATCAAGGCACGGGTTTCGTCGTTATCAAAATCAACTGGGTCAACAAATATTTGGCCGGGGACAGAAAACGTATTCGAAGATGGATCCGGGCGGTCTGAAGTAACAGAACAGGGGTTGCGGGGATGGTCATGCTGCGTCTGCTTGGATCGGGTGGGCCAAGATTGGGGTGGAATTAAGGTGCAGCCTCTTCTGTTATTGTTGTTGTTGTTGGAGTCTTCGTCGACCGCGATCGGGGAAGGAACACAAAGCTCTTTGTTCACCAGGATCTCGTTTTCGGGATCCGGATCACCTATTCTTCCATTCTCAACATTAAGGATGTGATGGAGAGGGGGCAGCATACTTACAAACTTGGCTGCTGTCCTCGTCCTTGTCTTCTTCATCTGTCACTGTGGCCTCGGATTTACTGGGTGTATCTTTTTGGGACAAGGTATTTCCGTCGTCAGACATATCGTTGTCATAATCCATGTCTGCTGAATCGTCTTCGGACTCCTCTCGGGACCCATTTTGGGACTCATCATCTCCATTTCCGTCTCCCTCCTCGGATTCCTCGGATCCGTTGTCCTCCTGTTCCTCCTGGCTATCCTCATCCCCTTCATCTTCTTCGTCGTCTTCACGATCTTCTTCCGCTTCATCCCGATCTTCTTCCATGTTTTTTGTTTCGTCGTGAGTCTGATCTGTGCTCGTATTATCACCCTTCTCACCGGGTTCCCCGTTTGATTCCGAATCGGCAAATTGTGAACGGCTAGTTCCGGAGACAGGATAGGGGCTCGAGGATGACGTCCCACTGCCCGACCAAGCCAGGTGATCATGCCCTGCTGGAGTAAGATACTCAGGAAGTTCATTGGGATCACGCCGCTTCCTAGACAGCTCTTCGTTGTTTTGTTTCCGTTCCTTTTCCAGCCTCTCCTGTTCTCGTTTTCTGCGTTGTCGTCGCTCAGCACTTGCTAGAAGAGCAGCCAAATATGGGGAGGGTGGGTCACCAAAGACCGCGCGACGGTTGCGCGACATGAACTCAAAGGGGGGTAAAGGAGGTGATTCACTCTCCTCCCGTTGGTTTCTGACCATCTTGGAGGTGTGGAAACTGAGTATTTGGTTTCGAGGGGAACACCTTAATAATCAACTGGATATTGGAGGCAGCCTTGATTTCAAGATGGGACATGCCAGGGGCTGCACCAGTTTTGAGTTCTCCGTTGCTTTTTTGGGCGACCAAGGGAGGTTTTCTTGAAGGGCGACAGTTACCACAACAACAGCGGCGATTATGAAAAGACAAGCTCTCCGGGGGATAGATCAAGACTAAATGTCTTAAGGCTGGAGGGGCTGAGCGAGGTGTATGTAAATAGGGTAGTGACCAAGATAGATGTTGATAGAAACAGCCAGGGAAAATGAAGGTAGAAAAAGGAAAAGGTGTTAGGAAAGGAAGATGGTAAGTAGTATTAAGGAGATTTTTGTCTCGATAGTATTTATAGGAGAGCAACACAAGAGAGTGTTGATTGTTTGAAGTGAATGTGGAACTTGTATTTGTTGTGCATCTTAAAAAGGGGTTGCCAGACAAACAATAAGCCCATACAAAGAAGTGAATTAACACAACTCAGCCCAAGAAACCCTTTTTGTCACCTGTCTTTAAGAGCAGAATTCCTCCTCTTCGAGCTTTTGCATTTACATAAGTCCTGGAGTTTCAAGAAACAGCAGAAGTTAAGCAGAGAAAGGCCCATCAGGAATTCGTAATATGGAAATCGCGAGAATTGTGATATAGATATCTGTATATACACCAAAAATTATATTGAAAATCAACGCAGCCAACCTCCAAGAAACAGCAAACTTTATACATCGCATTTTCTATATCAAGCCAGCTCAGCTTGAAATCTAGTCATTGGATACTGTGGGATCCCAGCAGACTGGTTCATATTTGCCTGTGTCCAAAGCACCCATATCCTCAGCGGAGAGCTCGAAGTCGAAAATTCCTGCATTTTCCGTGATACGGCTATCGGTCACGGATTTAGGAAGGGGAACAAAACCCTGCGCAGTCCATTAATAAACATCAATCAGTTACTTCAACAAGATCAAACAAATAGCTGCAAGCTTGAAAATCGGGTTCAGGTTCAGGGACCCCTTACCTTCTGCAAGCTCCAACGAAGGAGAATCTGCGCAGGTGTCTTGTTATGTTTCTGGGCTAAATTCATGAGCAAGGGATCATCCATCTTGGTTGCTTGCACCAGGGGACTATAAGCCTCAATCACGACGTTGCGCTTTTTAAGCCAGTCGACAATGTCCTGGCGGGCGAGCCAGGGGTGCAACTCATATTGACCGACGTCAATCTTCCCACCAACAACTTTGCTATACTCCTCTAGCTCGTCCAAGTGATGGACGCCGTAGTTGGAGACTCCAATAGAGCGAATTTTCCCTTCTTTTTGGGCTTCTACGACAGCACGCCATGTTCCTTCGCGTTTTTCCCGTCCGCCATATGGGGCGTGGATGAGGATTCTGTGAGCAAACTTTTAGCTGTTATATCCCACTTCCCCCCCTTGACCTTGTCGTACAAAGACTCACAGATCAATATAATCAATATTGGCTTCCTTAAGACTCGAATCGATCGCGTTCTTGGCTTCCCGGTAACCCATGGCACTCCGTGGCACTTTTGTGGTAAAGAAAATATCTGAACGTTTAAGGCCACAGTTCCGGATGGCCTGTCCGCACTCGGCTTCATTGCGATAGGCCTGCGCGGAGTCGATCTGTGCAATGGGTTAGCAACCCGAAGAGATAGTCAATGGCACCCGCCATTCCGTCTAACCACCTTAGAGGTGACTAGATGGAAGGCATCTGGGGAAAATGCCACTCGGAGACACATACATGTCTATACCCCAATTCCAAAGCTTTCAACACCGCTTTTTCAGTTTTTTCGGGAGGTCTATCACGCAGTTATCTGAGTATGAGCATAATATCCGCAGCAATAATAGAGTGTGCAGCAGGGGTACAAACGTTTGATACACCTATCGGAAAATGCCAGTTAGCCAAGGTCCAATAAAAACTAAATTCGAGGATCACGGCAACTTTTCTGGGTAACTATCAGGCAGGCCCTTCGTTTCACAGCCCAGCCCACGTCTATACTCTGTTATGGGCAAACATCTGAAGCTGAGAGGGATTACTTACACCAAATCCCAGGACAGGGATCTTGTGTCCCGAGTTCAGTTTGTAGGTGGACTGAAGGGTGAGAGCAGCCATTTTGTCAAATAGTAGACTAGATGTGCAACAAGATAGGGCGGACTTTAGGTTTGGATTTAACGAGGACGGTGAAACGACAAAGGGTGGCTTCATGGATTTAATGTAAACTTGAATCTCCTAGTAAACGTGGAAACAAACGGTTCCGAAGCACATCGAAATCATATCATCAGAAGATGAGCTGCTTTTCGCGTAAGCTAACCAAGGTAGTTGACTATATATAGCTGTTTGCCAGAGTTTGAAGACACGGTTACAATCCACATTTTATCATAACTACTTGTCCGTGCGGAACAAAACTCTCTTTCTGTTTCCCATGTAGTTAATTGACTGCCCTGGACAAACTTATCCAAGTCAAATCGCCCCCAGTCGCTGGCCGTTGACGGTGATATATCAACATTAACATTCCCTCAGTTAACTAGTTATTGCGGGGTTATGACGACAACAGCAGGCAGCCCACTATTTAGCTAACTAACTAACATCACTTAGGAAATATCAATTACCGCCAGACTGTGGAAGAGTTAGCTAACCAAGCCTAATTGTCCCGGAAACGCCGTGGGAACTACCGAAATTCTGCATCATACTTTTTGGGTCTACAAGGATAGCTGTTCAGGTCCCGCAGTATCCTATTTGATATGCGGTTAATCAAACAGAACATCGAGAGAGATGGCTCTGGCTCAGTTACGCTCTACCCCGAGGAACCGGAGGACATGGTATGCCCTGTTTATGATCATTCGAGCAGGCATTTCAAATGAAGCCTTTCTTTATATTAAATATAGATCTGACCGGATTTTACGCATCACATAGCTAATCGAACTCGTTTGGTTCAGTGGCATTGTTACAACCTCATCCGACCGCATGACCTCCTCAAGGCGAGCGCGATACGTCGCGTTACCACCACTGCTACAACGGGGACGACAAGTTCCTCCCGCGTCCCTATGACGCTACAAATCCGTGTCAAGAGCTTGGATTTTGACCCTCAGAGTTCCCAGCTCCATGTCTCCGGCCAGATCGTCGCGGAGACCCCGTACACCAAGATTGGTCAGCATCATACACTCGACCTAGAACTACAGCGGAACTTTACGCTTGTGAAGGAGGTTGAACCCTCAGGAGAAGCGGGAGGTTGGGATAGTGTAGCGATTGAAATGTTGAAGGATGCAGTGGATGAGGGAGGAGATAGAAGGGCAGAAGCCGTGGCGGTGGTGATGCAGGAAGGCCTTGCGCATATATGTTTTATAGGTCAATTCCAAACGGTTCTGAAGCAGAAAATCGAATTATCCATTCCGCGGAAGAGGCAAGGTGGAAGCGATCATGACAAGGTAAGCCTAGATATTGTCTTCGTGGGAAGGACCGTTCCGGTGTTGTGACATTCTGACAAGGGAACGATTGAAATTAATAGGCGATGACAAAATTTTTTCAAACGACGCTTGAGACACTCATGCGTCTGCTCGACATCAATACGACATCCAGTCAACCTTCATCTACAAGCTCTGCCAATGGTACACCTACGAAGCCTATTCTCCTCGCATCCCCCGGCTTCACAGCAGCTGGGTTCCAAAAGTACATCCAGTCTGCAGCGAATACATCCATACCCGCCTTGAAACCACTACTACAAAGCATTGTCATCGTCCACTCCTCTTCTGGCCACATGCACTCCCTTGCTGAAGTCCTTCAATCCCCATCCGTCCAAAGCCTCCTCTCAAACACCAAATACGCTAAAGAAACCACTCTCATGGACAAATTCTTCGCCGAACTTCGCAGGGAGACCAACAAGGCTACCTACGGTCCGCGAGAGGTTGAATCCGCAGTGGAACAGGGCGCAGTGGGCCGTGGAGGTGGAGTCCTAATAATATCAAACCAGCTGTTTCGCGCCCAAGATGTAGCTGAAAGGCATAGATGGGTGGCGCTGGTGGATCGAGTGAGGGACGTGGATGGCGGGGAAGTCCGAGTCCTTAGTTCCGATCATGAGAGCGGGCGAAGACTAGATGGTTTAGGTGGCGTAGCGGCCCTATTGACATTTCCGATTCATGAAGATGATCAAGATGATGAGGGTGAGGATGAGGGTGAGAATGAGGGATGAGGGATAGCTTCAGAGAAGGAAAATATTGTAAACCAAACTAATATGCTTAAATCTAAATCTGAAAGAGCACCAAGGATGATTACCTCGACACCAGGAGTCATTAACTGCGACGCGGATTAGAAAATGTAGATAAATCTTTACGCATCAGGTCGGCTCTATTACAGCATCGCTGTAGCTGCACCTGTAGCTGCACCCTCTTCTCCAAAAACAATCCTCTTATCCCAGGCAGCTTCAGTTTCCCAGGAGCTATATGAGGCTTGATCCTGCATTACGAAGCGCTGCACAATTTCTCTCGTGACAGCGTCGTTATCCCTCGCAGCATCCAAAATCAACAGCAAGCCACAAACCACATACTCAAGTCCAACAATGAGGTCTCTCCCTTCCCATTTCAATTGCTCTTTATCCTTACCCTCGATAGATTGCAACCATTGCTGCCACGCTTTCTGCAATCTCTCACCCTCCTTCTGAAACGAATGCTTGTTGGCAATCGCCAAGGCGCTCGAGACCCATTGACCAACGGCCATCAGGATTTCGGGGCCCTTACGAGATTTTATAACACGCACGAAGTCATCTGCCATGATGTCAGTGGTCCCTTCCCAGATGCTGACGACACAGGTGTCACGGAAAATCCTTGCAACATTGAACAAAGGATCTTCGTTCTCGAGATAGCCGACACCACCAAGGCTCTCCATGCAAGCGCGAACGCCGTGTATGGCTCTGAGTGCCGTTTGGGCTTTAGCCATGGGGGTAAGGAGACGCAGCAAAGCACTAGCCTGCTGGGCATCAGTGGGAAGAATAGAAGCACGCGTCGCCAGGGTAAGGCGACTATCTTGGCCTTCAGAAATCCCCAATAACGAAGCAACTAGGAATGCAAGGTGCATCTGCGCTCTATACATCACATGGTCTCGGGCAAGAGCTCGTACATGAGCGGGGATATCTGTGAGAAGTCTGCCTCCAGAAACCCGTACTCTGGCATATGCTCTCGAGATAGCCAGTGCCCTTCCCCAACCACCAACCGCTCCGATGATGTTGTGGAATCGGGTAATATTGAGGATGGTTGAAATTTCCTTGACGCCCTCTCCTTGTTTTCCAATCAAATAGCCCCTCATCCCCTTCAACTCCAGTTCGGCGGTAGGAAGTGTTTTTGTGCCAAGCTTATTTTTCAGACGCTGGATCCTCACACCGTTGAGTTCTGTTTCGCCTTCGGTTCCTCCGGGTACCTTTCTGCGCAAGGGAGCATAAAAGGCACTGATCTGGCCATCTGGACCCGTTTTGGCCAGCATAATTGTCATATTGGCATCTGTTGCGGATGAGAACCATTTGAAACCGTCCAGCTGCCACGGCCCAAGAGGATTCCCAAGCGAATCAACACCATCGCTGGCGCTCTGTTCTTCGGCTGAAAATTTCCTGGCCACGGTCTCAGTTCCACGAACATCGCTACCACCCTTCCTTTCTGTCATCCACTGACCACTGGTCCAAGCAAAACGAGGATCGCGGCTGATTAATCGATTTCTTGCTTCTCTAAAGATACCTCCATCTTTATCGTTCAAATGCGCTCCGAGCAGTTTGGCTGCACCATCGGTCATGGCGCCGGGGCATGTAACCAGGGCGGCACTCGAGGTCCAAATGTGCTGTTTGATGGACTGATATACTCGGTTGTTCCAGTGCGAGGCCGGATTTCCTGGTGCGTCATCATAACCCAGCGCCACGAAGCCCTCTTCGATTCCAATATCCTGTAGTTTGCGCCAGCCCTCACTTGTGACCAGGGGATCCTGTTTATTCTCCACTCCGAACGTGGTAAGTGGACGAAGGTAAGGCTGGTTCTTCTCCGCGTCGGCCACATGGGCAAGATGCGATCTTGAGAGTACAAGACGGGAAAATCGAGATAGATCTTCGTCGATGATGGAGGGAGTTGGGGAAGGAAGATGCAAGGAGATTATCCTGCGAAGGGCAGCATCTTCAACGTACTGTGGAGGGATAGTAGGCGGGGTTTGGAAGAAACCCTTGGTTGCGCTGGACGGCTCCATTTTCTTTTTTGTTGTCATATATGAATATGACTGAACTCTCTTCTTATAAAAGTACTATTATTAGGTGTAAATAAATTATTAAAAGACCTCAATTAATTGGTATAAAGTATCTAGATTGTCGGATCATATATAGGGTGATCTGAGTGGTCTTGGAGCCTCGGCATGTGATGGAGCTGGGGTAGCTTCGCAGTCGGCTACGGTTCATCAGAGTTCATGATCAAGATCGGCCTGATCTAACATCTAACTCGTATGTATGAAAGTGTGGATTGTTGTTAGGCATGAATTAGTTAGGTGTCTACAGGATATGCAAGAATCAATAGCAGTGAGAGCTGGTCGTAGAAGGGCTCGTCTCTTTACCACAGCACAACTCCTTGATCTCAGAATACTCAATGATGCATACAAGGGATGGAATTCACTTTCAGAATCTGCACATCCATTAAGAATAGTTGTGAGAATTGAAGTATGCATCGGCGAGTTCCACTATCTCTGCAAGCTTGAGCCAAATCGACCGAGGTTGACATTGAAATTGTTTCAATATGTATGGGTGTGTACACACAAAACCAGACCTTGCTAGGCGGTCAAGTACCCATCTAGAACCGCTTGGAAGTATTCGAAGCGGTCGACCAACACCAGCGGCTCCTCGAGAACTTCGTTCACCTGGACCAGTATTGCTCTCGGTGTCAATTAATCGTTGTTGGGTCATCGCGAAAATCGCACGCGATTGATTGCTGCAGTGATGCCTAATCTCACAACCAGGTAGATCAGATGGGTAGACACACCAGAACAGTGTAGACGATGCGCATGTAGCAGGAGCCTTAAATGAGAGGTGGCAGCCTTGCATTAGCAACTGAGAAAAAGAGGTAGCTGAGACAGTTGTCTGGTGGGTAAAACTCATTTGTCTATGCAATCCTGATGACTCTGCGAAGGTCGGTTGCTTCGCTCGATATAAGGTCAAATTGGCCCTCCTAGCACATGTGTCTCAGCTACAAAATATGCACTTATGATTGAAATTCTGCCAGTGAGAACCATATTTTTTGCCTTGCCATGAGTTTACGCCAGTTCCTTCGAGCGGCGAAGGGCGGAATAAATATTATCTAAGACTCGATTCCAAAACCAACAAAATATTTGCCAATTCCTCACAGCCAGACAGAGCCGTTAGGGAAACGAGTGGATGAAGAATTAGGGAAGGATGCCACCAAGAACCCTGAGATTAGAGAGGCGACAAAGGACATCATGGTAGAGTAAGTATATCTCTCTACTTTGTTGATCCCTTGCTCATAACGGGCTTCAACAGGAACCCATTTCATCCCAGTCCCAATGACCCTATTCAGCACGCAACTGTCTCCTATGAGCAAAGTTGACGGTTCTGTTGTAATGATAAACCTAGACAGGTATATTCGACTCCCTAACACTCTGGAACCAGACAGCTCATGATAACCAACAGAGTGACGCAAACATGAAGAGTTCAGGCTGGCGACCAATAGGTGAAGCTTGAGTCTGAGCAGTTTTATTGGGAAAATTTGCTGTGAGCTGTTCTCAAAAAACCAAGTCGATTGGTACAATTATTTAAGCCACCTCTCAAACGCCCTTCCCGTCAAGCCATCCATTGTGTAGTATTTCTTTTGCGGGAGGACGTAACCCAGAGTCAGGAATCAAGACCCTTTCCAAGAGAAGAATGCCTTCCCTGAAACTCCTACTATTCCAGAATCGATCGTACGGTTACTTCTTGTCGTTCCTGGCCCAATCTCGGCCAGCGCTCTTTGCATTATTGATATTAAGGTGCCAGGCTCAGCAGGAAGTCATAGAATATGTCGTATCTGACCCTGTCCTCATACAGTTGGGACATGTCGGGACTAGATCCCTCAGGAAGTCGGTCATATAGCCCCCAAATATTAGGGCGAAGGTAAGCCTGAATCATATAAAGATACTTCGCACAAAACAGCTGAAGTCTAAGCAGATATGCCAAAGGAGACACATACTACCATACCCCAATCTCATATGTGGGCTCTCTAGACCAGGGAAGACCAGAGAGAATTTCAGGACTGCGATAGGGCATTGGTTGTGCGATTCCAGTCGAAGGAGGTGGACATTGATCTCTCTCACTTTCTGGCACATCTAAGAGCTTCCGAATATTTTGTGCCCCTTCAAACTTTTGGCTCTGCGAGATTTACCTCTCAAAGTTTAGTCGGGGTTGGGTTGTGTCAGGTTTGCGCCAAAAAAAAAAAAAAAAAAAAAAAAAAAAAAACCCTTTTAGTACAACCTCCTGGTTGTTGTCTGAACTCCGTGCTTTGCAAACATGAGCCCCTGACGACGGGCCAAAACGTAGGTAGAGTGGTTACATGCAACCTTATATCACCTGATGAATCTCATGATCCGTTCCAATTTGCATGGTGATGGGAAGCTGCAAGGACATTGATGGTAAGATACACGCTGAGAGGCTTTGGTCAACGTGGTTTGCGAAATGTCTGGCGCGGGTCGGAGAATCAGCGGGAACGACGACAACCTGCATTTTCGCCATATCCTTGCCAAACGTGTATATAGCGTGTGGTTAGCAACTAATAACCAGTTAATCCAAATTCAGCCTTTTGTGATAACGTATTTCCCAGTGAGGGAGCCACAAATTGAAAATATTTCAGAGACTAGATTTTAATCTGAAAAATATACACTCAACTACCTCTAATCTAATTAAATTAAATCAAGCTAGGACCAGGACACCTTATTCTTGTATGCCGGAGTGTGTTACAATTGCTGCACCTCTGCAGTGCTTATGGCTGGCAGAGGTACAGAGGGGCGGAACGGCAGACTGTTCAACGAGGAGTTCAGCAGAGCTCAGCGAGCTCAGCCATGTCGGGATATCTCAGTAGCTAATGTTGCATCAAGTTGAGCTGTATATTCTCCTACATTCTAACTCCCAACCATCTTGCTAGTAAAATAGGTGGTAACTAACTAGAAGAGGATGTGCGGGGCTGACAAAGCGACTAAGTGAATGTTAGTTTAACTAAGTCCTGAGACAACACACAATCCTGACACGCAGACGGAATAGCAGGCTCAGCAGCTTCTTCTCTCGTTAAGCCCCCTTTACATTGAACTCAGCCACTATTAAATCTTATATGCTTTAAAACTTCTCTTTCTCTCATATACAAAATAAATAAATAAATATATACTATTCCTTTTTATTATAGTAAATCTTGACTAATATTTCATATTCGCAGATTGTACCTCAACGGCCCGGCTATTCTGTGATGACTAAGCGGGCTTGCGGCAGGAATTATTTTGATCCGTCCCATCTTTTTAACGTCCGTGGACCAGCAAATGTTCTCCGTGGTCATCTCTTAGCCAGGTTTTCTGAGCTCAGAGACGGAGCATCGCGATCCAAGGTATGTCAACACACGTCCCCAATTTCGTATGTTGTGCTAGCTGTTTCACTCTATCTTAATCTCAAATGATGAACTATTTATTGGAGCTGTCCTAATCCCTTTTGTGAGGAGACACTTGAATCATACGCAAGAATATACCTATCTGAATGTTTGCTTTGCTACATCTGTAACATCGAATTTTTGTATGCCTTCTATTTGAAATACACGGACTATATTGATTCGCATTGCTGATTGCAGATCTCCTAGGGGTTTAAATAACAAGCGATCTGACTTTTCAGCCTTTTTGGATGAGAGCTTCCATTATCATCAGGCTTCATACCTAAGAGCACTTGAATATTCTTGCTAGACTCTCCATTTTAAAGGGAGAAGTAGATTAGTAGACCCACATCAGAAAAGGACAACATGAGTACAGATCCTCGACTTGCTCGAGCAATGACCGCAAATCCACCCCCTCCTCCACCGCCTCCGCCCCCGCAGGAACCCTCATCTTCAACCCCTCCAGCGGGGACGGATGGCACAGCCGATGAAACACCTACACCACCACCACCGCACCCCTCATCGACATCGTACAAACTTAAATTCTGCACAGTATGTGCCGCCAATCAAAATCGGTCAATGGAGGCACACAATCGCCTCTCCTCACCACCGTCATCGTATCCAGTAATATCCTTCGGCACCGGGTCCCTGGTCCGGCTCCCAGGCCCATCCATCACGCAACCTAATGTCTATAACTTCAACACCGTATCCTATGCTCAAATGTACGATGAATTATTGCAAAAAGGACCCTAGACTATACCGCAACAACGGCGTCCTCACCATGCTCGAGCGAAACAAGGGCGTGAAATGGGGTCCGGAGCGCTTTCAGGAATGGGTACCCGGAATGCCGCGATTGGATCATGTGTCTAGAGGGGACAAGGGAAGTTTGGGGACAGAGGGCGGGTTGGTTGATGCTATCATTACTTGTGAAGAGCGGTGCTGGGATGCCGTGGTTGATGATTTGATGAATCGCGGTGCCCCGCTGAATCGCCCCGTGCATGTTTTCAACGTCGACATTCGTGATAGTCACGAGGAGGCCCTGGTTGGCTCCAAGGCGATTCTTGACCTGGCAGACAGGCTGAACAGTGCAGCTGATGAGGAACAGAAAATCAACGGTGCGAATGGCTGGGATCAGGCGACTGGTGAAGCGAGGAGATGCTTCGATGAGAAGGTTCCTGAGATCCTTGCCAAGTGGCAGGAGAAATGGCCCAATCTACCCGCATTGTGGACTCTATCTTGGTTTTAATAGTGCTCGGGAAATATTTGATGGGCTGGCCGTCAAATTTATGAGAATTTCGTCTACTGCGATTACATTGATTAAAGTTTTTAAGCGTGGAGTCTGGGAGTTTGTCTGTTTATAAAATAGTCATGTATCACTAGAACACTATCAGAACGGTAGCGCTTTACTGTAGCATAGGGCCTTTTAACATTATATGAGCTTAATAGTAACGCTTGAGAGTAGAAGTGAACAAGATGCATGAGAATTTGATCAAGCTTGAGCAAAAGTCTGAAAGGGCAATTCGACCAGCAAACTATTGCATTATCCGATGCACCAGTCAACATATGTAGCAAAAGCCGAGTTATTAATCATCCCCTGATCAATGGATTTGTGGAGTCAAAAGCCATTAGACATATGCATCATTAATTGCTCCGTATATGCATCACTACTTAGCAAGGTGGTCTGAAAGTTTCCAGAGGAAATCGGAGAGGGGTTTCCCCAGAGTTGCATAGACAACTGGCCCTCGAATCAAAAGATGGATTTGGTCCTGCTGGAAAGGAAACCCAAAATTGCAGAATCGTAGACAACTAGATCTGCGATCCAGCCAATTCCCAGATGAAAATTCCACGGGCCGCGTGGGTCCTATGGTATGCAGGGGCATGAACTAGGAGTCCCCCCAAAAAGGGCTTTCCAAAAAGTAACGATACCCAATTATCATAAAAGGCTTATACGTATATATGTTAGAATCACAGTTGACTGCTACCCATCAGCCTGGCGTTTGCTGCTTTGGAATACTATTCAGCAGGCTCACATCCTCTTCCATGACCGGCGTATTGGTGCCGCTCATCAGGATTGACTGGCATTCTCGATACCATTTTGTCAGATAACCTCTCCTTTGGGCCTGAGTCATCCCCTCGACAACGAGAGCAAACTCGGTGAGACTGTCAAATCCAAATCGCTTGGCCATGCTACAAAACTGACGCCTCTTTACGTCCTCTGGCGGGTGGTACTTGAACCGAACACGCTTGCCTCCATGGGTGACATCAAAGCCTGAAGAGACATCATCTTGCGAGCCTTGGAAAACTTGCTCCTCACCAAAACTGGCGCCGTCAGCTGCCATCTCGGCGCGACGGCTAAGGCGTTCTTCGATCTTCGATGAACCGATCACTTCGGAGTTTTCGTGTGTATATTCGACACCTGCTCCAGCTAGAATGGCCTGGATAGGGTCATGCTTGGCCTGTATGACGTTCATTTTGTTTTCGTTCCTGTCCCCGACCTCTTCTCCTCGAATCATGGCGGCTAGTTGGCTCATTGCATCGTCATTCTCCTCATCGTTTGGTGAAGGGAAAGGCTCTTTATTAAGCCCATCATTGGTATCATCCAGTTCGAGCTCGACGATTTTAACACCAACTTTGCTCTCCGCGACGTTCGTCTTGTTGACGATATCTCTCAGGACGATATTGTCGCCCTGGTATTGAAACATATTTGAGAGGCCGAATATTTCGCCCCTTCTGCCCTTTTTTTCTTGGATCCCTTTGAAATATCGCCGTTCTGTGCTGGCCGTATATCCAATATTTGCCTGTTGTTGTTTGTATATCTGGCGGGCATAGACAATTTCTTCGATTGTCCCAGCAGAAATTAACCGGAACACTTCAACATCTCTCGATTGCCCAATACGATATGCGCGGTCCTGTGCTTGGAGATCGAAGGCAGGATTCCAATTCGGATCCACAACGACGACCTTGTTAGCAGAAGTGATATTCAGTCCTATTCCTCCAGCCCGCGTAGAGATAAGAAATACAAATTCTCGAGGATCAGCGTTGAAATTGTCAACGGCTTTGGCTCTATTATCGTAGGTCATAGAACCGTCCAAATAACTGACGTTATAACTAGTATGTTTGAAAAGCATCTGGAGCATTTTTAGCAGCCTCACACTATGCGAAAAGACAAGGACTTTGTCTCCATTTCCGTGCCACCACTTTAACAGTTTCTTTAATACTTTCCACTTTCCGCAGAACTCGTGGTTCGCATAGTTAAGGATTGAATCCCTCGTGGCATAAAGCTGTCGCCACTGGTCCGGTACGGCGATCTGTAACATTTCTAGGTCCTTATCTTGTTTTTCAGACGGATCCTGTGATTGTGGAATGAGAATAGCAAGGTGGTTGCTGAGCTTTTGCAGGTTTGAAATCGCCGGGAAGACATAACTTTGCCATTTTCCACCCTGGGGTAAGTACATGCGACAACACCAGCCGGATTTCTTACGGGATCCACAGGAGCAAGGATCAGAGGACATTTTGATATACTTAATTATATCACTATCTAAAACCCTCTCGTACGCATCCGCTTGGGTTGGAGTGAGGGGGCAAAATACGACTCGATCACTCTTCTTTGGTAGCTGGTCCGCGATCAGCGTTTTCATGCGGCGGAGGAAGAACGGAGGTAGAAGGTTATTAGCCAGCTTTTTTGCTGTCTTCCTCGCTTTGCTAAGTTGGTACATAGTTGCATCATGAGACTGTCCTAATTTTAGCGGGTCACAAATCGTGGACTTCCAAGTGGATACCGGCCCAAATTTCCCGGGGTTGGTCCAATTGAGTAGTGTCCAGAGTTCTTCGTACTTATTTTGGATAGCTGTACCAGTAAGACCAATTCGACAAAGAGCATTAATTTCGTTCATCGACTGTGCTGTTTCTGACTTTCTCTCCTTAATAATGTGGCACTCATCTGCCACGACGCAATCCCACTCAACCATATTCAACGCACCCTTATTGAGCACGTAGGTTTTGTAGGTTGTGAGCATGATCTCAACCCTGCCTGAAGCAGCAGACTGTAAAGCTGCCTCCTTTCCAGCACCATGATATACCTCCACGTGCCACCAACCCCATCTATCCAATTCAGATTTCCAATTTTGCAAAAGAGTCCCAGGACAAACAATTAAAGTTCGGGGATACCAAACCCCGTCTCCCGTTCGTCTCATCTTTCGCATGCGCTTAGCATCTCGTTCGTCGCCTGTTTTCCCATATGCGGCCGTTAGGAAAGCTATTACTTGCACTGATTTCCCTAGACCCATGTCATCTCCGAGGATCCCGCCTTTCTGATAAACGAACAATTCGTGTAGAAATTCAACCCCCCTAACTTGATAGTCTCGTAGCCACTGTGCGATCGGGGCCGGGATCAAGCCTAAAGAGTACGGAAGTTGAATGTCTTCATAGTTTCTTGATGGAGTAGCCTTTTGGAAATCCGGCTTCTCTTTCAGATCCTCCAGATGCTCATCATCAGAGAACTCGACATCGTCAAAATTTGGTGGTAATTTTAATCCTGCCTCTTTCAACAGCACTGTTTTCTTATCAAATGCTGAGCGGCGGTTTTGAATGTAGTTTGGCAGGATGTGTCCCATCATGTCATCATCGGATGATAATTCTCCATACTCTTTCAACTGTCGTTGTCTTTTCCGGGAGGACGTGTTGGTTTCTGTTTTGGCTGGGCGTTTTCCAACAATTGGATTTTGAGTTACACCTTTAGCTCTGCGAGTTATTGCAGCTGCTTGTTTGCGCTGGAGACTTTTTCTGTTCTTGAACTTCTCATATGCAGCTGCACCATCGTCAAAATCTTTTATATCACTGAATTCATCGTCTGACAATGATATGATCTCCTGGTTTACAGATACGGCAATTGGGTTTTTAGCGCTGCATGCCTTGCGGCCCAGTCCCGGCTGTTCTGATGAACTGACTCCTACATCCGATTCTTATTAGTTTGGTAAGAATAACGAGATAATAGGGGCCGGGAGGAATTGAGAGGCTCCTATACCTCCAGAGGTCTCCATCCGATGCCGCCATTTCTTGGGAGTACTCCTTGGGTAGCCCAAGTCATCATCGCTAGCGTCACCGCTTTGTGTGGTGGCATCGGAATCCTCCAGCTCCCATTTGGAAACCATCCTAAATAAGAGAGAGTTGAACTTCTGACCCTAACGGGCGGCCTCCAGAGCTGGATGCGGAGACACAACGCTGACCTTGAAGGGTAAATCGCCAAGTCACATGACCAGACGTCAAAAATAGAAAAGCTTAACATCGGATTTCTTTTCCCCAGCGCAGTAGAGATTTTCTCCTTTCTGAAACAAAAACCACGCTCTGATGCTCATACCAGCATTTCAATAAAGCGACCAACGAAAATCATTCTCTCTCTAGCTATCTATCTTCCGTCCATTGGATCCACTTCTGTCCAATTTGCCTTAAATTGCTGCTCTTCACCAAAACCTTTGAGCCGCCGCTCCCCACAGTGAAGATTATACCCATATCAGGATTGGTTTGTCTGCGGAGGGGAAATTGGAGTATAGAGCCTCACGAAAGACTTCTCTTAATTTTATCTCATGAGAAACGATCTTGTGCTGTTGTAGTCTCCTCAATTGTTGTTCAGTCATTGGTAAAAGAGTCACGATACCTACTCCAGCGCTGTGCAAGTACGCACAAGACCTAGATAAACCCTTATCATTATGCCTCTCGACACCTCAACAACATATCGCCTCACAAGACTTCGGCTAGATGGCCGTCGTTGGAATGAACTTCGCTTAATGCAAGCTCAGATCTCCACTAATCCCGCGACATCTGGATCCTCATATCTCGCAATGGGCAATACCGTCGTTATATGTATGGTACATGGGCCAGCAGAGGGTCGACGATCTGAAGCAACGGGCCCAGCTCGTGAGGGGGCCGTTATTTCTGTCGCGGTCAATATTGCAGGTTTCTCTGGTGTTGACAGGAAGAAGAAAAGTTTAGCCGCCGGTGGAGGTGGAGGTGGAGGTGATAGGTTGGTAGCTCGTGTCCATTACCTAAATATGATTAGTATTTGGTTATTTTTTTTTATATATCAGCTTTGTTTATATTTCTAACCAAAGCTACAGACAAGCATCTACCGATCTAGCCGTTGCCCTTCGTGATGCCTTTCAACCACACCTACACACCCATCTATATCCACATAGCACAATATCTCTTAACATTTCTGTTCTGTCATCTGATGGCTCCCTCTTCGCAGCTTGTATAAATGCCTGCACCCTGGCGTTGGTGGATGCTGGAATACCTATGCCTGGCCTTCTTTGTGCTTGTACAGTCGGAATGAGCGGACGGGCATCTACACCCGCCACACCAGAAATGAAACGAGTGGGTGGAATCAACGAAAGTTTAGATCCGCTCCTTGACATGTCAATGCCTGAAGAACAAGAACTTCCGTTCATGACTGTTGCAAATTCAAATCCAGCCCCCTCGGGACACGACTCCATGGATGATGAAGAGGACAACCAGATGCTGTCAGTTGTCCAGATGGAGTCTGGCGTACATATATCATATCTGGAAACTATGTTCGCAGTAGGGCTCGATGGTTGTAAGCAGGTCAGGGAGATCCTGAACGGCGTGATAAAAGCAGCAGGCCGGAAAGTGTTGGAAGGGGAGGGCGAAGGATTGGCTGATGGCATCGAACGATGAGCTGAACTACTTAATTATTTCTTTGTGCAGCGGATGAGGCAGGGAATCCTATCGCGTCGAGTCATGAACTGAACCCTTTTCATTTGCAAATTGCTAAGATACTGCCTCTCTAGTTTTGATCTTCATTTACTGCTCGGATCTGCCTGGAACAAGAATTCCAACACGAGACAAACCATGAAGATTACAAAGACATGGTAGAGATGCTGTTAAGCTGGGTCAAGGTTGCCCCTGATGAACTACGTACCCGGGTCCGCGACAGCAAAGAAACCCTGGTACGCACGATCACAAAAATATCTGATGGATCTTTCTCTGTGTGACATGAGTGCTGAAATCATTGAGGGGTAAATTACATTACCATCGTGAACTTTATAGTCTCCTAAAACATATTGAAAAATGGGCCACAAGATATGCAGCCGCTTTTCTATCCTTTGCTCGAATCGATTGATCGAACTGATCCAACCGCGGTTTATCGGACGTTTACCGTGGTGTTGATCTTAAAAGAGGAATCAAGAAAATCACCATTGCCTACGAATCATTTCCTTATTGGATATGAAAACAATCCCAGTTTCGCTACGGATAACTATGCTGAACTGTGGGGCTTTATTGGTGATTGACAATTAATGGCAATAAATAGACTAAGCGATTAATTCAAGAACTAGTTACTTGAACTTGTTGATGTCAGGGAACCGTTTCTTTCTCACCAGCGATCTGAGCGTAACCCCCGAGCCAACGCCTTGTGTTTCTGTGACCCAGCGGTCTATCTTCGATCTTATGCGAGGGGAGGTCGTTCAGTCCACAATGGCACGCTTCTTGTAAAGGATTCACTGTTTCTGACGCCGTCTATCAAATACACCTAGCCATGTACACTCGTAGCCGATTACCAGATATTGATATCTAAATACAGATGAGCCATGTAAATCGAATAGAGACTGTCAGATATTTTGTCGGACCACATGCTCGTTCCTGTAGATAGCAACCTTTGCAATCGATCAAGCTCGCCATTCTGTCATATTTTATTCAGCTGATATGTATATATGGTAGTTATAAGAATGTTCATGCAACAGCCTGTCACTCTTATGTTCTTGCTTTTCACAATGGGTTTTTAGCTTTAGTTCTTTTCTTGTTTACCATTTTTAAAAATGATGATTGCTCAGAAAGAGCTCCTTAAGCCAATTGAAATAAAGGAATATTTTTCAGGGGGTTTCATTCTTACGAAACGCTTATTTTTTTATTTTTTTTATTTTTTTTTCCCTTGCCCTCTACAATTCCTGCTATATTGTACAATTGCCCCTCTTCATCACAATATCTCATCTTTCATACCTTCACAAAACGAGAAAGACAAAAAAAGAAAGCCTCCTTCTTTTCTAAAATACAGAAACTTAAACAGCTGTTTCGTCCTTGATCTCACCGCAGTCAACAATTTGGGGTTTAATATCTGCTGTAATGCGGCCCTGGTCACTGCCACTCTTCTCGATCTTTTTAAGGATGTCTATGTATTTATTGTCGTTCTTGTCCTTTTGCACGACCTTGCCAAAAACGACATGCCTGCCATCGAGGAAGGTGGTTTCTGTGGTCGTGATAAAAAATTGAGAGCCGTTGCTGAAATTGTCGGGGGCAGACGAGTTAATACTACAAGTTTGTAACGGGGGTAATGGGAAAAGTGAAGTTGAAATTAAATGGCAGGTAGACGTACGTGTTTGGGCCGGCATTGGCCATAGAGAGATAGCCCGGTCCCTTATGGCTGAGCTTGAAGTTCTCATCGGGGAACCTGTCTCCATAGATGGACTTGCCACCAGTTCCCTATATACATATAGAAGTTAGGTGAAACTAGCAGATAGTCCAAAAACTAAGTAATGCGTGATCTGGCAACAGCAAGAAGGGGAAACGGAACTGAGGGTTTTTGAACTTACGTTACCACGGGTGAAGTCACCACCCTGGATCATGAATCCCGGGATGATGCGGTGGAAATAAGAGCCCTTGTAACCAAATTTGTCCTCTCGAGAAACGCAGAGGGCACGGAAGTTCTCCGCGGTCTTAGGGACGACATCGTCGAAGAGCTCGAACTCAATTCGTTCCTGAACGGCTATTGTGAAGAAACGATTGGTTAAAGAAATTAGTTTATGTTACAATTCGAACGGATCGGATGTTTTGCCATTCAATTGACATTGATATCATTACAAATAAGAGGTAGGCGAACAACTACGCTCCTTGCAGGAAACAAGATAACTTACCCTGCTTCGTATCCGGATCCGAGAATTTGACGTCGAAGAATGTTTTGATAGTCGCGGTTGCGGGGGATGAATGGAAGGAACGGAGATGGGTGTTGGAGTGGGAGAGGGAGCGAAGAGCAGATGAGGCGGAAGAGGCAACGGAAGAAGATGAAGAAGCCCGGAGGACGGAGGAAGAAAACTGCAGAAGAGGGAGAGTGGGTGGCAGCGATCGTGCGAGGAAGGACATGTTGGTCGTTTTAAGCGTGTGTATAGACGGATGTAATATTCTATGTTTCCAGCTTGGTTAGCATGCAACCATAAAGCGACAGAATGAGCATCAAACTTTATAATAAATGCAATAAATGCATAGGAGATTGGAAAGTGAAATCACTTACACAAAATATGTATATATCTTTAATAATAACACGGCAAATAAGGAGGTATATATTCGCAAAGTTAGCCCAGTGCAGCTATTTCTACTAGCTCTCTTTACGCAAAGCCTCTCAAACTCTTTTGGTCAGGGTTGACGGTGAAGAATCCGTGGTGGAAGATATCCAGAGAGACACCAATTGACAAAGTATGCATGCTGCATGGACAACTCTCGTAGATGGCTAATCTCCGCTATGGATGATTGGCTGCATTCATTGCTCTCAAAGCAAAGTCCATCCGGGAGAACCCTCCTCCGTGTCTCTTCTGACATGACATCAAACCATAGCCAAGGCCAATTGGAGGGGAAAAATCCAAAGAAATGCAGCAAAGAAGCCGGGGAAAGATTATATAAATACTTACATGCAGAATTCCTTGCTGGGATGGGTTGTTCAGGCCCGGAAGAAGTTGTAAAAGCACACGGCAAAAATTGGTTCAAGGTCAACTGCTGAAAGCCGAATAGTTAGTTGACTTAAATATCTGAAATTGTTTTCAGATATGACTAAGCAGTTAGCGTAGGAGCACAATTGTTAACTACGGCAGTCAGAATAAGAATTCCAAAGACGTATCCCATCATTCCAAAAAAGCATTATTACTTAGGAAGAATGTTCGTATAAATTTCATATATTTAATATCAAATGGAAGCAAAATGAGCTTATTGGAGAATTCAAGAATGACAAAAACAAAGAGAGATATTATCCTAGCCAAAACTCCACACTCACTATATACAAGCATCACCAAATACATTTCACCCCATTTCCGATGCAAATAAATACAGTACAAAAAAAACCTAAGCCAAGTATACAAAACACATGGACGAAACTGTTTACGTTGCTGGATGAGCAAACAATTTACCAAAAAAATAAAAAAATAAAAAAATAAAAACACCAAACACGAAGAAAATAAAAAGAAAAAACTCCTTGTTGCAAATTTCATCTCATCGGGAATCGTCATCGTCCTCCTCCCATGTTACTCCACCACCACCCATCACACCCATCTGATATCAAGTCTCTGCACCAGCTCCTTCGTCTCCCTGGCAATCTCGAAAGCAATCGGCAGCAACTTCCCCGTAACATCCCGCACCTCCACAACGCTCATAGCCTTCCCGCACACAGCGCCCTCCTTCGCTAATCTATCTCGGCAATAGGAAAGGTTGCGAATGATTGGGCCTGCGCGGTCGCGGAGGTTGTTACTGTTACTGCTGCTTTTGCTGCTGCTGCTTTTGCTGCTGCTGTTGCTGCTGTTGTCGCTGCTGTTGTCGTTGCTGTTGCTGTCGTTGTTGTTATTGGTATTGGTATTATTGTTACTATTGTTTTTGTCGTTGTTTGAGGTGGAGGGATGTTTCTGCTGCTTCAGCTGCTCTTGCGCCATCACATTCTCCGTCATGGAGATAATCCTGCTGACGACAGAGGAGATTGTGTCGATATGCACGCGTATAGCGGACATGTCGTCTGGCTCTGCACGGATAGAGGAGACGAGAGCTTGGATGGATTGAACGACGCCATCTGTTTGTTCTTCAAGGTAGACCTGCCATCGTAACAAATGTAGATAGACAATTAAACATATGTACATTTTACCCCTTGCTTGCAAGTAAGTTGAGTTTATATACTTACCCTAAGCTCCTCTAACTCCCCATCCACCTCTCTATACCAAGCCCAGTCTTCTCAAGCATTTGCCCATTCGAAAACGTCTTCCGGTGCATCTGCATATGTTCCCCCGCACCAGAAGCCGCTGATGCCATCCGCGAATGCTGCGCAGAATGCGGCGAGCTAATAGCGCTGTACACAGATTCATTCCCACTCAACCTGTCCAGGCTAGACGGGACGCTGAAGTAGGTAGGTGACTGCATTATGGCGTCCAGATCATCACCATCCCCAACACCATCATCGACTTCAAGCTCATCTGCGGGAGTCGGGCGAACCTTGACGATACGGACCAGTTCGACAATTGCGGCTGAGAGATGTGAGGCTGCTGCGTCCAGAAGAGATACGGGGGATATCCCATTGCTGTTTGCGAAGTCCTTGGAGGCGGTGATAAGGTTGTTTGCTGTGGCTGAGACGCGGATTTTGGCACGGGAGCGAATGTGTGATGATGGTGTTTGCTGATCATCTGCTTTCCCAATTGACTGGGCAGTTTCGACGTCTTGAGTTATATGGCGGACAGCGAAGACGACGGCTTTCATCTGCTCGAGAACATGTGCTGGATCTGCCATGCGTGCGGTGCGCAAGAGCTCGTCGATGGATATTTGGAATTTGGTAAGGTGGACATCGTTGACTAGTCCATCTGGATGGCTGACGTCGTTTTCCTTGCGGTAATGGTTGCGACATCTTGGATGTAATGTCCTGGAAGCCCAAGTGAGGGGGATCGTAGATGTTGTAGTCGTGTTTTCGTCTTTGCGTAGCGGTTCTTCCAGAGCTTAACCTCTTCTTCCATCCTGTGAAAGTCCTGTGTGAGGCGTTCTTCGCGTTCCCAACGTTCCTGCGTCCGATCAGACAGCGCCCGCATCTCCTGTAGGAAGTTGGAGGCCTCTTTTCGGACTTGCTCTGTGACTTCACGTTGCCTTTGAAGCTCCCCCCTAAGTTCCTGGTTTTCCCGTTCGGAATCTTCAGCTCGCGATTTCCATACACCGCTATCTATGTCGGTCTCTCTAGCTCTACCTCTGTCTATCTCTCTGCCCATCTCTGAATCTGTGTTCCGGGCCGCAGCTGCCGCTGTCAAAGCCTGCTGAATTTGCTGCCGTAAATCTTGTTCTCGATTTTCATATTCCCTTCGTTCACCTTCCAACTGATCCTGCAGCGAAACATTTAGATGCTGCAGATTTTGCAACTCTGAAAGCTTCGCTTCCAAATGCGACTTCATCTTATCCCACTCTTCTCTTTTCCGATCCCAATCTTTTCTCATGTTTTCCCACTGCTGTCTTTCAGAATCCAAAGACTGGGGAATGTTAAAGGATGTCAGTAAACACATCCAACAGCAAAAAAATAAATAAAATAAATAAATAAAAATAAACCAAATGAAAACACAAAAAACAAAGAACAAGATATATATCCAAAACAACTCACATCAGAATTACCCCTAACCTCATCCCGCAGCCTATCAGCCTCGCCATCTTTCTCTTTCAACTGAGCCTCCAACTCATCCACCCTCTTCTCCAACTTAGATACCTGCCCCCGCGCCTCAGCCAACATCTCCTTTTCCCTCTCCGAATCAACTCCAACTCCAACTCCATTCCCATTCCCAACCAGCGTCATCGTCGTCTCCTTCCGACTCTCCAACACCTTATCCAATGCAAATGCATCGCTCCTCCTATCCGGATCATCATCCTCATATTGCATGCCATCAACACCATCATTAACATCATGCACATAATCGATCTCACCCTCATCCTCTCCACCTTCATCGCTACCCTCAACATCCTCCTCAACCATAGTACTCTTATTCGGCACAATGGTATTACTCTGAAACGATTTTGGCAACGGCCCATTTTCAGGTATCATTTCACCATTGATATCTAAACCAGCTGTGGAGGCGTTCAATGAGCCCTGGCGGGGAGGGAATCGGGCGCTTGGCGGGTGCGGGTTAGGCGGTAATCCCCCCCTGAGGCCCAGACCGCCGGGACCAGAGCCTCGAGATTGTGTGCGGAGAGGGGCAGGGTAGCTATTTGTCCCGTAGGTGAAGGAATCGTTAGAACCTGGTCGTGGATCATAGCCGTTGCTGCTGGAAGCGTATCCGCCGCCAACAACACTGCGCACACTCAGTGCAGGACTCATTCTGCGACTTGCGAGATCCATATTGGCGAAGTGCGGGAGGCGTCGTTCCAACTCGCACAGCACGTCTGCAGCCAGGTCTATGAAACGTGGCTGTAGCAGGGTGGATAACTTCTGGCGCGCCTGGTTGCGCTTTTCGTGGAATTCTTGACGCGGAAGTAAGTATGGGGGTACATCTGGCCTGTTGCCACCGGGTCGATTGGGCGATTGAGCCTGTCGGCGGAGCAACTCGTCGTAGACATCTGTACTCAATTCCATGACCTGGCCTGGGGATAGGCGGAGGAGTTTGTCACGGGCTTTACTTGCCCGTGAAGCGTTAAGGTCCTCTCGCCCCTGTCCTTGCATGAACCGTTTTAGTATAGCGTAGTGCTTCCGTAGCAGGTCCTCCATCATCCCATATCTCCTGCTCCGCTGGTCGGAAAGGGTTCCATCGCTGACCCTTGATTTCGAGGCGACCGAGCTGGGGGGTGATGGGTTTTGGGACTTGGCCGACGGTCGATGCAGAGCAAGGCCATTGTTCCCGTAGACACCATTGGTACCATTGAAATTGGGGGCCCCGCTGCTGTGGATGAGACCATTAGGACCAATGTCAGGAGCATTTAATTCCAGAGGATTGAAGGGTGGGCCACCTGAACTCGGGGTGGATGCTGGGGCGCTTCGACCGGGCGGGGGAGCGGGAGATTTGGAGATATTGAGTTTGTTGTTCATGGAGTGAAAATGGTTAGTCCCGGGCCATATGCTTCCGTCAGCAGAAATGCGTGACATTGTCTCCCTGGGTGACCGAGCAGGGCATTCCCGTATATGTGTAACGGGGAGGTTAAGCGGCTAGGAGGGATAGAAGGGGGGGGGAGGGGGAGGGGAAAGGAAAAAAGAACCAAAGGAAAAAGAGAGTGGTGGTTATCTGGAAACCCTTGTGTTCACAGCATTGGGAGCGAATATTAATTAATGATGGTTGAAGGGATATGCAGATAGTTCGTTGTATGCCACTGTGCTTTTTTTGTCTTCTCTCTTTCCCCTTCAATTCGGGTTTCCAAGAATGGTATATTTTTTCTCTCCTCGGGATGGCTGCGTGACTGGCTAGCTGGCAGGTTGGCCGTTTGGAGCGTCTGGAAAGGAGTACGTTTCACCAGCCGAATAGCGGTCTGGGAGTGTTGAGAATAGCCGCGGATGAAGGAACAAGGGCGGGTCAGGATGAAGAGCAGAATGAGAAATCGTAACGAGCGTGTCGAGAAACAATAACAGCAGCAAAGAGGTCGGGTGGGAGAGGGACAAGTTTCATGGAGACGAGGTTGCCTCGAGGGGGGGGGGGGGGGGGGTTGGCGGAAAAATCCTTGGGTGGTTGAGGAGAATTGGTAAGGGGAAGGGGAAGGGGGTGGTGCCAAGATTGCCGCGGGG